CAGCAGTACTATTGCATAGCCAGTTATCCCCCACTTTGTATCTCTGCACTTGATTTTTTTTCTTTCAAAGAGTAGTAATTCATTGAATTTCATCTTGTTGGTTTCAGACCAAGTCTCCAATTTGTCAAGATCATCTTGGATTCTAATTCTGATCTAACCCTCTCATCACTGTATCATCCTCAGATTTGAGAAGCACACTTTCCACTCCATTAGGCAGGTCATTAATGAAAATGTTGAATCATATTGGATCCAGGACAGACCCCCGGAGCACCCCATTAGAGACACCCTCCCTTTTTGACAGCAAACCATTGACGACTGCTGTTCAAATACAATCTTTCAACCAGTTATGCATCCACCTTACAGTAATTTAGACCTTATAGACTATGTTTCCCTAAGAGAATGTCATGTGGGACTGTGTCCAAAAGCCTTTCTAAAATCAAGATATATCATGTCTACTGGTTCTCCCTGTCCAGTAGGCTAGTAACCTTATCAAAGAAGGAAATAAGTTAGTTAGGCATGATTTGTTCTTGACAAATCCATATGGTCTGTTCATTACAGTCCTATTATCATGTAGTTGTTTATAAACTGATTGTTTCGTGATTTGTTCTGGTGTCTTTCCAGGTATGAAATTTAAGCTGACTGTTCCCCTTTGTCCTCTTTGTTCCCCTTTTTAAAGGTAGGTGCTATGTTTGCCCTTCTCCAGTCTTCTGGCACCTCACTTGTCCTCTAGGAGAGCTCAAAAATAATCACTCATGCAGGGCTGGACAAGAGACAGTCTGGGGGCCAGACCCAGCCCACAGATTGCATCTGGCTGCTGTCTATTTATATGTTGCTGCCCATGCCACCAAATTTCCAGGCAGTGACTCAGGCAGCAAGATCCTATATAAATGGCTCACGGTTGTGGTGCTACTCTGGCACGGGCCAAATGGATGAGCCTTTTAAATAGCCACAGCAACCCCGGGTAGCTGCTAGGCGATGAGGTAGCGGTGGGGCCGTGAGCCCTTTGCTGGGTTTTTCAATTCAAAGCCTCTAGCCCCAGACAACTCTGCAGGGGAGGCTAGTCCCCAGTCCCACCTCTTCTGCTTGCTTTTGGAAGTGGAGCTGGTCTGTGACCACATAGCAAAATCCTTTGTGGCCCTCTTGCAAAAATTATTGCCCCCCTGCACTAATGGGTCTGAAATTGCTTCAGCTAGTTCCTTAAGTGCCCTAATATAAACTTTATCAGGCTTTGCTGACTTGAATACATCTAATTTACCTAATATTCTTTAATCTGTTCTTTCCTTACTCTGGATTGTGCTCTTGCCTCATTCTTGTTAATATTAACCGTGTTAAGCATCTGGTTACCATTAACCCTTTTAGTGAAGACTGAACCAAATTAGGTATTAAACACTTCAGCCTTTTTGATGTCATCAATCATTAGCACTTCTTGACTCCTTCATCTTTCTGTTGCTCCTAAAGTATTTATAGAACTTTTATTATTACCTTGTTTGTTTCGTGCTAGGTTCAATTCATTTTATACTGTAATCTTTGTGATTTTTTTCTCTGTGTGCTCACACTATTTTTTTTATAATCATCTTTAGCAACTTATCCATGTTTCCACTTTTTGTGGGATTCCTTATTAATTTTCATGTCATTAATAGTTTGCTTTTGTGCCTTTCATATTTTCTCTTTGGAAAAACTGTCAGTTTTCCTGCATGCCTTTTTCCCTTGGATTTTCTTCCCATGTGATTTTACCTGCCAGTTCTATGAGTTTATGAAAATCTGTTTTTTTAAGTCAGTTGTCCTTATTCTGCTGCTCCCTCGCCTTCCTTTCCTTAGCATCATGAAATGTATCATTTCATCACGCCTTTCTTTCAGATTGCCTTCAACCTTTGGACTGGCAGCAAAATTTCTTCCTGTTGGAATCAAGTCTAAAATGATCTCCCCAGGGTTACTTCTACCTTCTGAAACAGGAGAGTTGCCCTCAACACGTTCCAAGAATTTACTGGAAATTGTATGTGTTGCCATATACTTTTCCAGCTGGTTAGTTGTAGTTAAAATATCCCCCTCACCACCAGCGCTTTGTGTTTTTGGATGTTTCTGTTGTTTGTTTTAGAAATGCCTCATGCTCCTGCTCTTCCTGATTAGACCTAGTATATACTCCTCCTGTGATGATGCCCCTGTTTTTCCCCTGTTATCTTCACCCAGAGCCGTTTAGCTGGTGTGTCTCTCATTTCCTTCTGGGCCTCGTGGAGAGCGGGTGTCAGTTGGTATGTGGGCATACTCTCTCCATGAACCATCCCAGCTCTGCACAGGTAGCAGACCAGGAAGCCCACAGATTCAGTTCAGAGGTGAAGGTGCTCCACTAGGTTTATTGTCAATGAAGCAGGGTCCTGGTGCCTGGCAGACTCTAATGGGACACTAACACCTGTGTGCCTGTGATAGTGGTCTCAGGTCAGTGAGTAGTGTGACTTTTCACTGCCCTCTGGGCTGGACAAAGATGTCCCTCCTGTGATTTGTACACATTGATACAAACTAATTACACATTATACTTCTGACAGCTAATTACTGGCCCTCTCTCTTGTACCTGCTGCTTCAAACAAAACATTTCCATCCATCATCATGTTCTTCCGCCCTTGCCCTTATTTGGGATTGGTGTGCACCTGTACAGGATAGTCTCGGGATTGTGTTTATGCTGTGACTTTGTGTTGGGATGTACCTGGACTAGCCTTCTGGAATGTGTTTATATGAATACCATGTGCCTAGCACTTCTCAGGAGCGTCTGTGTTTTACAACATTCATCATGCTTTTGCCAAGTCTGTGTACCAGACAGGGAACTTGTAGGCAGGTGTTTCCTTTATGGCAGGTCCTGACTTTTGCTCATAGCCTGGCTTTTGCTGATTTTTAGGTCAGGCCTTCAGCCTACTGTTCCAGGCTCCCTCTTTCAACTATCCTCAGAACAAGTGTATACATTCTTGATGTACAATGCAACGCCTGTTCCCTTTCACCTGCTTGTCCTTTCTGAAAAAGCAAAACCCCAGATATGAGATGTATCCTCTCCAGTCTCAGTGATGCCATTTAAGTAGTAACTTACTGTGTATACTAATACTTTCAGTTCTTCCTCTTTATTTCCCGTTCTTCTTGCATTTGTGTGTAAACATCTAAAAATCTGAGCAGATTCCCCCACTGTTCTCCCTCTTATTGCTCCTACAAACATATTATCTTCCATTCCGCCCTTACCACCTCAACATCTAGCCCTTTGAAAAGGTCGCCTTTTTTAATGCCAACCTGTGAGTATTTATCACCTACTCCATTTGAACTTAGTTCAAAGCCTTCCTCATCCGGTTGGCGAGTCAGTGACTGAGGCTGCTCTTCCACTTCTTGGCCAAGATAGCCCCATCTGTTTCCAGTAGTCCTGTGTCCCAACCAGTATCCATGGTCAAAGAAGGCAAAGCGCTTCTATTGACCACAACCTGCACAGCCATGTGTTCATCTCCAGGGGACGTGTGTTCCTGCCTTGACAAGTGTGACTCAATGGTCAGTTCATAGATTTATAGGGATTTTCTGTTGCACATTAGATGGAGGGTTTCTGAGAACTAGGCCAGAGTGAGAACCTGTAACCACCCCCAGTTGCCTGTACTAACCACGGTACCACTGGGCATTCTTCTCTAAGTAGAGATGAGAATGGTTAACTGGTAAGCCTCACCCTTAACGGATGAGACTTACAAGTTCCAGTTAACTGGTAGGGGCCTGAGCAGCTGCCCTCCCTATGTTTAACCGGGTAACCAATTAAATGGGATTTGACATCCCTACTCCCAAGACCCACCATAAGAACTGGTTGATTTTTTTTCAAAATGAAATGTTTTTATTTTCAATTTGAAATGACTGTTTTGAATTTTACTTTTATTTAAAATCAAATAGGTAAAAACAAACTTGACAATGAAATTAAACATTTCAACAAAAAAAGTTAAAACGTGGCATTTCCCACTAAATGAAAATTCAACTTCATTTCAGAATTTGTGAAATTGTTTATAAAAAGTTTCATTTTGACAAAGTTGAAAGGCTTTGTTTCGAACTTACTATAGGAAGTGAAACAGGGACATTGAAATGAAGCACTTTGACCAAATTGAAATAGTGTTTTGATTTTTTTGTTAAAAACTTTAACAGAATCATTACCTTCCTGCAAAACATCTTGATTTTTTGAATACGAATGCAGTGGTGGGGAGTTTTATTACCAGATCTAACTAACAATGACCCACGTGCCCAGGAAATCAAATGCCTGCTGATAGAAAATCACCTGATCCAAGTCCTGTCTCAGGGTATAGGTGCAAAGAAGGTTTAGACCCAACCTCTTCATTCAGAGGTGCAGCAGGTTTCCTAGTGTGACTTCAGGCTCCTCAAGCAGCCTGATCTGGGGCCTTGGAGAACAGCCTGGCAACCTAACCATAAACATGGATGAGGCAGCTAAAGGAAACCCTTTCTCCCCATTCCAACCACCAACTAGTTTAAGAAGCCAGAATCACATGACTTTCCCCTCTGTGGGGAGTTGTGGCCTAGCCATGGTGGTTAGAAATGGGAGGAAAAATTACGGAAAAAAGCAATAGGGAGAAACCCAAAGCCACAGGGTGGGATAGAACATGATTTGCTAGTATATTAGGTTTGGCTTGTCGATCCTATGCAGTGACATGGAAGACCCAAGCCAAGCAATATACGAAAAGAAGGACAAATGAAGGGCATTTGGAGACCTGTGTGAGAAAACAGTGTGGGGGAAGCAAAAAATTGTGTGTGTGCCTGTGTCTGTGTATATGTGCATACCGAGAGTTCTCCCTCATGTACTTAAATACAAACCTAGAGTGAAAACTGAAATAGAGTAGGCATAACACAGCAAGCAGTGGGGTACTGAATAATTCTGTGTATAGTTGGTCATTTTATACATTTATATCTTAGCAGTGGGGTACTGAATAATTCTGTGTGTAGTTGGTCATTTTATACGTTTATCTCTCTCATTCTTTTTCAGAAACTCTCAGAGATGGGCTCCACGTAACACTTCAGTTCTGAAAAACTAAGGACAGATGACTCAGTAGTGTGCAATGGAGAAAACAGCAGGAGAAATACCAGCCCTGAGGCTACCATTTTATGTCTTATTGTACTGCAGCCATGCACTCCCAACTCCCAGTGTGCTGCCTTAGGGAGAGAACACGCTTGTCAGACATTACTAGATCCATTTGTTGTCTTACAACTTTTTCACTTTTGCATTGTGCAATCCACTTGTGAGAAGAGGAATGATGACTTTTTATAGATGCTGTTTGATTCTCTTGGCATTTATCTGGAACACCTCTGCCTATGGACCAAACCAAAGGGCACAGAAGAAGGGAGACATTATTCTTGGGGGACTCTTCCCCATTCATTTTGGAGTGGCTGCCAAAGACCAGGATCTAAAATCTAGGCCAGAATCAGTAGAGTGTATAAGGTAAGCCAACAAGAATTGTAAAATAGACAATGCTGGAGTCTTTACACTGATCAGTTATAAGTGAGATGAATTACTGCATCAGTAGAATAGCTGTAGCTAAGAATCAAACAAGCTCCTCTTAGCTGTTTATAGTATCTTTAATACATTTTGTAACCCAAATGCTTTACAGAGTTAAATATTTTTCATTCTGTCTACATTATCTTCCTTTACCTTCTATCCCCACTTTATCTACTGGTGGGGAGCACTCTGTGAAGGCAATAGACTTGCTCTCCACAGATCTAGGTGATACAAAACCATGGAAGTGTGTGCTGATGGTGTAAAGACAATGAATGGTGCATAAGCTAATGTAAATGTTAAGAATGATTTGTTGGCTTACAGTGAGAAACGACATTCCAGGCTATAGTTCCCAATTCTACCAAATCACAAATCTATTCAGGCAATGAATAATGGATGTTTAAATAATATTTATATACATACATGTATACTTCACTTAGTCACAGCAAAAGCAATGAAAGGGTACCTCTACACAGCACTGCTATTTTGGGATAATGTCTGTTATCCTGAAATAGCATTCTATGCTGTTTACACAAGAAGCCCGTTATTTCGAAATACATTCAAAATAACGGGCTTGTTGTTCTGGCTTCCTGTAAACCTCATTGCAAGAGGATTAAGGAAGATGCTGGAATAGCAATTTATTTTGAAATTTAGCGCTGTGTAGACAGCGTCAAATTTAGAAATAAGCTATTTCTAAATCAGCTATGCAATTTACATAGCTCAAATTGCATAGCATATTTCGAGCTATGCTCTACTGAGTAGACATGCCACCAGTGACCAGAAAATTGTAAAATTGTCTGACTACAATCATGTATGGCAAATAAGGGTTTTGAAATAATAAATTCTTCTATTTTTATTGAACTTTTCATCCTTGCTAAACACTTCACTCAACATGAGGTAAATTTTTAAGTGTTTAGGTGTCTAACGATGCAGATTGGGTGAAATCAGATGTCTAGGTAATTTTGAAAATCCCGCTAGGCACCTATCTTCCTCCTTAGGTACCTCCTAAATACTTTTAAAAATCTGGCCCTACAGTCCCAAACCTGAATTCAGTAATCAGTCCTTCAAGCAAAATTCAGTTACTTTCACATAAATACCGCTTATAGACAGGTCAGTCTTTGGCATTAAACCCTGTATATATGGATGTGAATTGCTTCTTCCACTACTGAAATACAGCCAGTTTTGTGCTGAGACATGGCAGATGTTTAACCTTGCCCAGCAACACTACATAGCAATTTAAGATTGGAAATTATGACAAACTGAATTCAACTGAAACTTGATGAAGGCAAAATATAAGATATTCAGTTTGGAATTTGGTCACGAGAAAGAGGGAAACACGTGTGTTCCTGAGCAGTAAAGTGACATGGGGCTTTAATACCAACAAGAGGTCAGGGCATCTGTTTTACATCTTATCTGAAAACAGCCTGTTTAGAAGTACCCTGATTTCTAATACGAGGCTGGGGAATTAGTTCAGTGCAAATTTGGAATTATGATAACGAATTACTAACACCATTTCTGCTTCTCCTAGAGTGGTGGTTTTCAACCTGCAGTCTGCGAACCCTCTGGAGGCTCACAGACAATGTCTAGGGACCTGGGAAAGGTTATCAGTGTGATAGAACAGTGGTTTTTCAACACATGGTCAGAGGATCCCTCGGGGAACTGCAGACTGTCTCCACTACAAAGTGGATTAACACTGCTTCAGTGGATCCACTGGGGCTCATTCAGTGAGTCTAGTGAAGACTCGCTAAATTGACTGCTGATCACTCTCCTGTCGACTATGGTACTCCATCAGAACAAGATGAGTAAGGGGAATTGACAGGAGAGCTTCTTCTGTCGACCTAGCATGGCATGAACCCTGCAGTAAGTAGATCTAAGCTATGTTGATTTGAAGTATGCTACTAATGTAACTTAAATTACATAGCTCAGATCAACCTGTCCCTGTAGTGTAGACCTGCCCTAAGATTTCCAAAGGGGTCTGCACCTCTGTCCATTTGAAATATAAGGGACAATTCTGACCTAGGCTTTTTACTGGTTTCCTGTCCAAATAGCGAGCAGGTTCAATCCAATTAATTTGTAAGATCATAGTGGTTTGAATATAATGCATAACAGAGCAGAAGGAAAGAACTTCAGCAAAAGAATTCTGAAGCTGTTCTTGCTTTATTTAATGCACCTACCTACAAACTATAGATTAGATCTACACAATGGACTTTCAGTGGCTCTCAACCTGTTTACCGTTGTGGGTCACATCCAGTACTACCTGGATGGCCCTGAGGATGTCACATGGGCTCTAACTCTGGGCTGTGCTCTAAGCATTGCGCAGATTGAGAACCACTGACTTAGATTAAGTGGTGCAACCGCTAACTGTGAGGGGGTCCCTGGAGGGAGCCTAGGACTATGGGACTGCTGTGCCCCCTTAAGTCTCTCCAGCCTGGGCTGTATCTCTCAATGCCTTTCAGGGGAGAAGCAGCACCCTTTCCATGTTCTGTTATCACTCACCACGCCCAACTGAGCAGCCGCTCACCCAGCAACTAGATTGCACGAATGTTCCCAGAGCCACTTATTAATCTCTCAGGGTAAGACACCAGCTGAACCTCTACCTCCAGCTCCCAGTTCTGTATCTCAGAAATGTACCACCTGATTTATTAATTGATTCACCACTTGCATCAATGGAAAGTAGACATACACCAGTCTTTGTAAAACCCCTGGGCAAATTTACCAGACACTTCAGGTGAACTCACTGGATAAAGATAAACAGTAAACCAAGTTTATTATTAACTACAAAAGTGAGATTTTAAGCGACTATAAGTGATAGCCAAAAAGAGTAGTTACCAAAAGAAAAGAAAATATTAGCATGTTTCCATCTTAAATGCAATAAAACTGCATTTTAAATGTGCCAACTGACATGTTATAGAACCAGCCTTTTCTTGCTTAGATAAATCCTGATCTAAATGGGTCCATTGACTTCAACGGGGATTGGATCAGGCTGATATTGAAGCAAAGGAATTTAATCACTAAGGATATGTCTAGACTGCATCCCTCTGTTGGCAGAGAGATGCAGATTAGGCAGGTCGACATTGCAAATGAGGCAGGGATTTAAATATCCTGCACCTAATTTGCATAAAAATGGCCACAGCACTTTGTCAGCAAAAAGCAGCAGGCTAGAGGGGTTTCTGTCGAGAAAGAAAGCCTTTTTCGACAGATCCTGTAAAACTCCTTGCAGGAGGCATAAGGGATCTATTGAAAAAGGCTTTCTTTCTCGACAGAAACCCCTCTAGCCTGCTGCTTTTTGCTGACAAAGTGCTAAGTCGGCAAAATGTGGTGGCCATTTTTAGGCAAATTAGGTGCGAGATATTTAAATCCCCGCCTCATTTGCAGTGTTGACCTGTCTAATCTATAGACATACCCTATATGCAGGGCTCGACAAATACACTTATCAACTCGCCCGTGGTGAGTAGATTTCAGCTGGTCGCCCCGTTCACCAGCGGTCCACACATGCGCAGTGCGGGTCTTGCGCATTTGCGGTGCAGGGCTGGCAAGTGGTTTTTGCCGTGATTGTCGAGCCCTGCCTACGTGTGTGTCTACAAAGACTGCTTTTAGATAAGCACACATTAATTGATCTAACGTGGAGAAAAGAGGTTTTTGCTACTTGAATTGGGCTAACTATTGCTTGTGAATGGTTTACTTCTCAAATGTAACTGTTTTCTAGTTAAGAATTGTCTGCAAACATATCTTGACATCTATATATTTATTCATAGATCAAAACTAAATTTTTGATAAATGCAAAGTAATGCATGCTGGACAACATAATCCAAATCTACATACAAAATCGGCTCCCTAAAAAAGATCTTGGAATCACTGTGGATAGTTCTGTGAAAACATCCATTTCCAGGGGCAAAACAGCTACTAGAATGTTAAAACCCATTAGTAAAGTGATAGATAATAAGACAGGAAATATAATGTTACATAAATCCATGGTACATCCACACTTTCAGTACTGCATACAGTTCCAATCGCCCCATCTCAAAATAAGATATATTAAGAAATGGAAAAGGTACAGAGAAGGGCAATGATAATCATTAGGGGACTGGAACAGCTTCCATATAAGAAAAGATTGAAAGGGTTAGGACTGTTCCGCTTGGAGAAAAGTGACAGGGGCTAGGACAGAGGCCTATAAAATCATGAAGGGGGTGGAGTCTGTGTGCGTGTAGAACTTCACTGACAAAGAATGTTTGTAGGGACCAAAAGTATAACTAGGTTCAAAAAAGAATAAATGTTGTAATGGAGGTTCAGTTCATCAAAGGCTGTTATACATGATGGCCAGAAATGCAACTCCATGCTTTGGGTGTCCCTGCCCTTCTAACTTCAGGTGCTGAGACTGGATGACAGGGGATGGATCACTAGATAATTGGCTACATTGTCCTACATTTCTATCACTGGCCTGTCCTGTCCATTCCTTTTACATCTGGCATTGGCCACTGTTGGCAGACAGGATACTGGGCTGGACGGACCATTGGTCTGACCCACTTTGGCCGCTCCTATGTTCTTATATTTTAGTTTACAAGGTCACATAAAAGCTGCTTGCTGCCATTGTCGCTTTGCATCTAGTGAACATTCATAATCAGAAATGTTTTGGCTCTAAGGACCCAGATCTTGCCTTATGATAAGTGCTCAGTGTAGCTCAAGAGGCAAATGTGCAAAGGTGTCTTTAAGCCTTTGCGGTCTCCAACCCTAGCATCCTCCAGGGTGGTACCTGGTGTCATTACACTGGTTGTGAGCACAGTCTCCCAGCCCTTCCTCCTCCCCCCTCCCCACCCTGTGCTGCTGCCTCTGTATCACAGGCATGGATCTGTATCACAGGCAGCTTTGCTAGGGCAGGTGACTCTGTGGGAACTGCTGCTCATGGGGAGATGGTTTTCCCCCAGGAGCACCAGCTCCCACCTGCCCAC